GTAAATCAAGGTTGATAAGGGCCATTTTAACTCCTTAAAACAAAATATTGACGACAAAATAATATAAATTATAAATAAGATAAATTTCGCAGGTAAACGGATCAAATCGGGGCGAATAGCCTACATTAAAGAGAATTAGGCTACCGACATGAATAAAATATGCAAGCAGACACTGTCAAAACGGCAATCATGAAATTAACCATACCCTCGAAACAACACATGCATCATTTTCAGTGTCAGCAGTCAGAATAATCCAGTTTAAATGCAAAAAGTGCCCAATATAAGTGATAGGAAAAAGCTACGTAATTAGCAGGTATTTCACACTCGTTCATGCGCACACCATGACAGTCAACTCAAAACTGTAATTCATTGATACTTAATTATACGACAATTAAAAAAATAACAACAACAATAATGCGCTTACCTTCGTGTCGCTCTATAATTTTACACAGAACTAGAGGAAGCCTCTTGTTAATTTCATATTGTAGAACATAATACAGAACTTTGCACAGACAAAACTAACCAAGTCTAGCAGTTTTCAAGGATTTATCAATCTGGACGTTTAAAAGATAAAAGACATGATCGTATAAACCGATATATTTAGTTTCGGTTATAATTAATTCAAATGTGCTCTGATTTCGGAGTTGCAGTGATAGAGCCTTCGTGTCATCTCACTCCACAATAATTCACGTTTTGAGAGTTGAGTCACTCGTCCACTCTTTAACTTATATTTAGGCATTGTGATTACTTGAATATACAGTCACTACATTCAAAATCAGATATGTTATAGCTTATCACACTAAAAACTTTTGTGTGTGTGTAGTATTATGATGACTGCTTGGATGCAGTATACATACTTGGGCTTGTTTTGTTAAACAATTAGCCTATGCAATTGATATGTTTGAAAACCGCCAAATTGACCCCAAACCAGCCCAAATTTTTGTCCACCCGCCCAAGCCAATTTTTTACCCGCACAGTCAAATTCAAAAACGCCCAATCTGGCAACACTGCTCTAGGGATGGGCGTATCGATCCGAAGTATCGATATATCGATACTGATGCGAGTATCGAAAGTATCGATACTCAAACAATAAATATCGATACTAAGGTGTGTTTTATTTAGTGATTTTGTTTATTTAACAAAAAAATAATGCATTGAATTGGACGAATAACCTATGTTAGTAAATAAGTGTGTAGGATATAACTATTTTCCTGCTCATCTGAACACTCGCAAATGTTGCGAGACAGAACCAATCCATCAGAGAGCGTTCACTCACTTCTGACAGTGCATTCAAACAGTCCCTTATGAAAATGAACCATGGTTTTACTAAAGTGACCGTAGTTCAACTGTAGTATTTGTAGATTCGAATAATGTGTAAACAAACAACATATTTGAACCATGTGTAAACAAAAATATAACCTAATAAGTTACAATTAAGGCGCATTGAATGTTCAAATGCGTTTTAAACAAAGTTAAGTGGTTATCATTACCCATTTAATTTCATAATTTAAAAGTTTAGGTCAGAAATATTGTATCGATATCGACGATACTGCCTTGAAAAATATCGGTAACGTATCGAAAACAAAATAAGTGGTATCGCCCATCCCTACTGCACTCAGAGGCGGCAGAGGGGGAAAGGTCGTCGCCCGGTGTTCTATCACTTCTTGTATTTTCTGTCTATACAAATGACAGTAATTTCTGTACTAATATTTCTGTGGCTTCCGTGTTTCTGGCAAACACTCAACCTGCCGTCTCAGACACGTATTTTCAGGTTAACAAAATGGATCTAGTCTATTATAATGACATGCCTTCAGCAACAACTTCGGATTGCAGTTGCACTCAGTACAGAGGTAAGATAATGCTGGCATGTTAAAGAATTTATTCTGCTCAGTTATGTTGATCAGAGGTAAAATACGGAACTTCTTCTGAGAAGAGAACAGATATCAAGATCATGTTAGAACGATTGCCACAGCAGAAAGACCTGTGTAAAATGTTTAATTCATCCAACACTATAATTTAAAGATGCTAATAACAAATTTATTTTTGGTGTGTGTAGGCTATGTATTTTTCCACGCATTCTAACAAATGTTCAACAACAACAAAAATAAAAGTATGACAAGTATCTAATATTTTAAACAACATTAAATGGATGTATGTATAGATGTAAATCATTTTGGCTATAAACTGAATTTCTACAATAGTTACAGATTCAGAAATATATACAATTGTTCAGGATTCTCTATCCCTCTTTATTTCTAACCACAGGAAATTCCATTCAAAAGCAAGAAGTCACTTCTCCTAAGTGGACAAAAGTTCTACTGATTAACCTCAGCGTCGCTCTTATTTTTGCTCTTGGAGGTCTCTGTGTTCTGGGGATTATGTGTGAGTATAAGTGCACACATAATATTTAGGGATGCACCGATGTGTCAACCAATAATCATTATTAGTCAATAAGTAAGGGATAATGCAAGGCTAGCTGGGCATTAAATTATTTTAATGCACAACATGTAGGCAAAGAACCCGACGCAAAGCAGAGTACATTAAAATAATTGAATGCACAGCTAGCCGTGCATTATCTCACTTATACCATGGTCATTTGCCAGCATTGACAAGTTAAAGCTGTTAATGAAGAGTAAAAATGACAGTTACGGATCATTAGCACTAACATTCTGTCCACTTCAAATCAGACACAGAGATGAGAGTGGTAAGATCACATTTATTTGAATTAATGAATTATAACATTTATTTGAATTATTTATCAATCGATTAGTCGATCGAGAGAGAGAGAGAGAGAGAGAGAGAGAGAGAGATACAGTTGCGTGTATGATTTACCTGTGTCTGCCAACTGCCCGTATATTGGGCCTAATTGATTTGTCCCGTACGTGACCTCCCTTGTCCTGTTTATTGACTGCAATGCTGATCTAACCACTGACTGATACAACAGCAACAGTGCTGATCACGACACTTGAGAATGATTCCCTTCACCGTCTGTGTTTTGACTTCAGCAAATCAGTTTTAGCGAATGCAAACAATGTGATTATTTTTCAGTCCAACATCCAACCGTGCAAGAAAACATGCAATCTATCTGAGACGTGGTCAGTAAGGGAAGTCTTTCACTATTGAAATGTTGTTAAATATTTTTTACAGCTGCGGGCCGGGCTACACTTACATGCAAATGGAACCAGTTTCATCTAGAGTTATGTGTGCTAGCACCTGAGTTCAGATGACTGGAAAGGTGTAGAACTTGCATTAGTGTCTTTCCCCTCTCTAAGGTGATAATGTGCACTTTTTGAGTCCAGTTTCAGTTCCTTTTTTACCCTGGACTACCCTCTCCATCAGTCAAGCACTCTCACTGCAGAACCTATTACTTGTAATTATCCCTAGAGTGAACTCTCGTATTGAATTACTTAGAGCAGTATTTTCCACTGCTCAGTTCCTATTAAGGACTCAGTGTTTCCCCTGGACAGAGCATTTCTTTGTCTCCAGGTACTGTGTTTGGTTGTTCTCCCCTTATGCCCACCACAGAACCTTCCCCATGCAGTACTTCCTTCTAGTCCATAGGATGAATCTCCACATGTCACCTCTCTTCGAGTAGAATGCGGTCTCCATAGTGTTGTTTTCTCACTTGAGGAAGTGAACACTTCCCAACAACCAGGTTCACCAGCCATTGAATTTTTTTTGTATTCTAAGCAGAAAAAAGTCTTCAGACTGAGATAAACTCTACCGTTATTGGTAACTCTCCCAGATGAAGGAGAAGCAGGAGAGTTGCACTTGTTTGTGACACGCTGGTCTTGTCAGCATCAACGCCACCGTGGACTCGTAATGCAGTTCAGTCAGTTGTGGCGCTTTGTATAGGGACCTCTAGTGTTGGACCTTCCACACAACATCAAAGTGACTGACTGAAAGGGAATGTCTCGGATGGTAACCCTTGTTCCCTGACAGACGGAATGGAGACGTTGTGTCCCTTATGCCACAACTCTGAACTGCCACTGAGTTGAGATGCTTTCTCGACTCCTCGGCAAGGTTATTTTAACCTTATAAACGAAAACTAAAACTAGGACAAAAACTATTGGTCAAAAAACATTTTCGTAAACTGAAATAAAATAAAAACATCAAAATACATGAAAAACGACAACGAAACTAAACTAACAACAGTTATTGCAAAACTAACTGAAATAAAATAATAATTATCAAAAATAAATAATCGTTTTTGTAATCATTACGTTCTCACCCCGTGGTGGAAAAAATATATAAGCTGTGTGTCGGTTTAGGGAAATACCTGTAAATGGCGCATCATACACGTGAGGTTATCTGACGGAGAGAGCAAAGCAGTTTATAGCAGAGTCCTGCACGGGTCCTGTTAGGTAGTTATGGTATCATGATTATGGTTAAATAAGATGAAAGGCATAATATAAAGAAATTAGCTACATTTATTTTCAAATTAAAAATCACAACACACATGTAGCCTTATCATTCAGTAGTGCGTTTTAAATATAATGTAAGCGCAACTTGTGTAGATTTAAAAAGGCATGACTGCTTCATTTCGACGTGTATTTGTATACTTTTACCATCTAATCAGCATGCTTTAATTTTGTGTCCCTAGACATTTGCATCACTAAGGTTAAATTAGCCTAAGCCTTTTTTGGCCTGTGCTCTGGAAGTGATCTGTTAATTCTGCTAAACTTTAATTAGCCTACTAAAACTAAACCTGAAACTAAACTATATAAACACTAAATAGAAATGTGTTCACAAAATAAAAACTAACAAAATTATTAATGAAACTAATAAAAACTAAACTAAATTTTATTGCAAATTTGAAAACGAATTTAAAAATGCAAAACTATAATACCTTGCTCTTCAGAACAAAACAAGTGAGAGAGAGAGAGAGAGAGAGAGAGAGAGAGAGATACAGTTGCGTGTATGATTTACCTGTGTCTGCCAACTGCCCGTATATTGGGCCTAATTGATTTGTCCCGTACGTGACCTCCCTTGTCCTGTTTATTGACTGCAATGCTGATCTAACCACTGACTGATACAACAGCAACAGTGCTGATCACGACACTTGAGAATGATTCCCTTCACCGTCTGTGTTTTGACTTCAGCAAATCAGTTTTAGCGAATGCAAACAATGTGATTATTTTTCAGTCCAACATCCAACCGTGCAAGAAAACATGCAATCTATCTGAGACGTGGTCAGTAAGGGAAGTCTTTCACTATTGAAATGTTGTTAAATATTTTTTACAGCTGCGGGCCGGGCTACACTTACATGCAAATGGAACCAGTTTCATCTAGAGTTATGTGTGCTAGCACCTGAGTTCAGATGACTGGAAAGGTGTAGAACTTGCATTAGTGTCTTTCCCCTCTCTAAGGTGATAATGTGCACTTTTTGAGTCCAGTTTCAGTTCCTTTTTTACCCTGGACTACCCTCTCCATCAGTCAAGCACTCTCACTGCAGAACCTATTACTTGTAATTATCCCTAGAGTGAACTCTCGTATTGAATTACTTAGAGCAGTATTTTCCACTGCTCAGTTCCTATTAAGGACTCAGTGTTTCCCCTGGACAGAGCATTTCTTTGTCTCCAGGTACTGTGTTTGGTTGTTCTCCCCTTATGCCCACCACAGAACCTTCCCCATGCAGTACTTCCTTCTAGTCCATAGGATGAATCTCCACATGTCACCTCTCTTCGAGTAGAATGCGGTCTCCATAGTGTTGTTTTCTCACTTGAGGAAGTGAACACTTCCCAACAACCAGGTTCACCAGCCATTGAATTTTTTTTGTATTCTAAGCAGAAAAAAGTCTTCAGACTGAGATAAACTCTACCGTTATTGGTAACTCTCCCAGATGAAGGAGAAGCAGGAGAGTTGCACTTGTTTGTGACACGCTGGTCTTGTCAGCATCAACGCCACCGTGGACTCGTAATGCAGTTCAGTCAGTTGTGGCGCTTTGTATAGGGACCTCTAGTGTTGGACCTTCCACACAACATCAAAGTGACTGACTGAAAGGGAATGTCTCGGATGGTAACCCTTGTTCCCTGACAGACGGAATGGAGACGTTGTGTCCCTTATGCCACAACTCTGAACTGCCACTGAGTTGAGATGCTTTCTCGACTCCTCGGCAAGGTTATTTTAACCTTATAAACGAAAACTAAAACTAGGACAAAAACTATTGGTCAAAAAACATTTTCGTAAACTGAAATAAAATAAAAACATCAAAATACATGAAAAACGACAACGAAACTAAACTAACAACAGTTATTGCAAAACTAACTGAAATAAAATAATAATTATCAAAAATAAATAATCGTTTTTGTAATCATTACGTTCTCACCCCGTGGTGGAAAAAATATATAAGCTGTGTGTCGGTTTAGGGAAATACCTGTAAATGGCGCATCATACACGTGAGGTTATCTGACGGAGAGAGCAAAGCAGTTTATAGCAGAGTCCTGCACGGGTCCTGTTAGGTAGTTATGGTATCATGATTATGGTTAAATAAGATGAAAGGCATAATATAAAGAAATTAGCTACATTTATTTTCAAATTAAAAATCACAACACACATGTAGCCTTATCATTCAGTAGTGCGTTTTAAATATAATGTAAGCGCAACTTGTGTAGATTTAAAAAGGCATGACTGCTTCATTTCGACGTGTATTTGTATACTTTTACCATCTAATCAGCATGCTTTAATTTTGTGTCCCTAGACATTTGCATCACTAAGGTTAAATTAGCCTAAGCCTTTTTTGGCCTGTGCTCTGGAAGTGATCTGTTAATTCTGCTAAACTTTAATTAGCCTACTAAAACTAAACCTGAAACTAAACTATATAAACACTAAATAGAAATGTGTTCACAAAATAAAAACTAACAAAATTATTAATGAAACTAATAAAAACTAAACTAAATTTTATTGCAAATTTGAAAACGAATTTAAAAATGCAAAACTATAATACCTTGCTCTTCAGAACAAAACAAGTGAGCAAATGCCACACTGGCCTATTTATACCCGGATATCCGGGGCATGGCCAGCAATGCAAATTTTGCTCGCCAATTTCATTGGCCTTTTCTTAATGATGACAGCGGTTTCTGGGCTCCCAAGTGCGACCCCTAATGTCGGAACTTTGACACAACGTCTCCGTTCCCTCCATCAGGGAATGAGCATATGTAACCGAGATGATCTTTGCTTACTTTGTATTGGTGGGTTAAGAAGTTGCCTGACATCACTGTCTGCTGCTGATTTTGTCTTTAAACAGATGTCAGTGTTACAGTGCAACTGTCTGCCCAGAAAACGAACAACACAAATTAGTCAAATATATTTCATGCACCCAGTACAAAAACGTTTTACATAAGAGTGCATAAAGAAAAAGGAATATGTGAGAGACATTTGAACTCAATATTAACTGCTATGTTTTTTTTTGTTTTGTTTTTTTATTTCAGCCTTCACAGCACAGACTTTGAACTGTGAAACAAACTTTCATGGAAAGTTGTACTTCTTCAGCTCTGATTATCTGAACTGGTCAAGCAGCCGTGCTTTCTGTGTTTCAAAAGGAGCTGATCTGGTCACCATAACCAGCCAATCAGAACATGTAAGACTGAGAAATTGCGAAGTAAATGATGTTGGAAATGATTCTCATGAATCCAAGAACTGTAGTTTGACAGGTTTTGATCACAATACACAGAAACAACCTATAACTTAAAATACGCCATCATTTTTGTTCATACAGAGTAATATATCATTCAAAACTGTAAAGAGTCTGCTTTTATTTGTGTACACTCACAATATCAGAAAAATGTTGTGCATTTTGTAAAATAAAGAAAACAGTATGTGCTTTCTGTCACCTCGATCGCCATGAACTGAAAACTCAGCATAGGCTCTACTTGCCTCACAGGCATGAGAAATATATCTGTAGAAAGCCTGAAATGTCTACGATAGCCTACTCTCTGTTTATGTAATCCGTATGAAAGGTGAATTTCTCTGTAAAGGTGCGTCCTGTACTGTGGAGATGGCGAGTCAGCATCATTAACTTCATCTTTGCAGCCAACACTGACTCAGAAAACACTAGTTTATTGATAAATAATTAGCACAGAATATTTGCACAAAACAGAAAAATAAACACGCACACACACACACACAAACTTTCAAAACCTCTCTACTGAATTTTTAACTTTATAGATTATTTAGTTTAACCGTATGACCACAAATGATAGATTCATTGATATATAATTTATGTAAGCAGTAATTACATAAAAAAAAAATACATTTTTATCTATTAGGATTTTCTGGCTTCTGAAATTAAAGAACAGCACTGGATTGGTCTCAGTGATCTGAAAACTGAGGGACACTGGGTTTGGGTGAATAACCAAACTCTCAATGAATCTGGAGTACAGTAAGCAATGTTTTATTATAACAGAATACAGATTGTGTTTATTAATGTAACAGAACATAAAAATAGTAAAATAGAAAAGAAGTTAATTTAAAGCCTTATTAAAACTAGTCATTATTGTTTTGACTGGACTATTAAAATCTTTGGAATATTTGTATTGTATATTATTATATTGTTTTAACCCTGATCTCCTGTTTGTGCTGCTTAAGGTCGTGGCACAAGAGAGCATCTGGACAAAGTGAACCTGATAACTGGAGAGGAACGGACCCCTCTGGAGAAAACTGTGCTGTTGTGAAATATTCTGAAGGCCATGTAGACTGGTTTGATATTTCTTGCAAACTTCAAAAAAAGTTTATTTGTGAGAAAAAATATTAATTTTTGTACATCAGTGAAGCATTATGAAAGAGGATGATATTATATAATGCACAGCTATTTGGATAGGATCCTCTTTTGGATTAGCTTATTTGTGTTTGTGTTCTGTCTGGTTTTACTTAATCCAAATTTATAGCCATGATAGATTACAAATGTAATCTTTAAAAGATAAAAAAAAAAACCTCTAGCCCTTTGGTACTGATGAACACGATGAACTTTATACGGTGCTAAAAAACAAAAACATCGACTAGTTTACTCAGCTGTTACTCAAACCTCTACAGACAAAAGTCTCAGAAAAACGTTCAGTATTTTCCCTGTCTGACCTCTGTTATATAATCTAAAATGAACTGAGCAGATTATAATATCTAAAATAGTGCCAATAACATCATACTTCTATACTGAGAGCATTTGCCATCTGGAGCTAGTTTTCAAAGTTTGAAAGTGACAGTATTTTGTCATGAGTCCGGGGCCCTGCGTTTCTTCCTCTCACCACCAGAGGTCGCCATCTCCCGGACTCCTTTCCCCAAACTCCACACACCTTTCACTTATTACACCCTCAGCTGTTCCCCATTGTCATGGACTATTTATACACCACACTCCTGCTACTCTGTCTGGCTTATTCATTATTTGTTTGAAGATTTCGGTAGATGCAGGCTCTTGTGGCCATATTTGTATCCCGATCCTGTCATTCGGTTTTGAACCCGTTTTGTTTTGCCCTAAGTATGTTTTTGTTTAGTAAATAAACCTGCATTTGGACCCAGACCCCGTTTACACGGTGTTTTCCCTTACCGTACCATGACAGATTTTCTCAAAGAGTTGTGCATAGGCAAAAATCCTAGTCGATGTAAGAGACCATTTTAAGAAACTATCATACTTATTTTTCCACAAAATACATTTGAATTTCACCCATTGCTATTGTCCAGTATAGAAAATGAAAAAAATATGTTCATGGTTGGACAAACATTTCATGAGTTGTATATACTTTTTCACAGAACTGTGTATTCCAGAAAGCACGGTTAACTACTGTCAGCTAAACCCTGAACTTTCGGTTGATTAACCCCAAACCTTGCCGGGAGTAAATTCATTCAACTCAGAGTATGTTCCTGGTTAAGACTCAAAACATTCTCAACAGAGTGAGGAATCGACAAGTCATTATGGAAACGGGCGCTAAGAAAAAGCACGCCATGCTGTTTCTTTCTTCCTCTTTTGTTCAATGGTCGTTTACATGCTTAGTGCATATGCATATGGCCACCTAACCGATGGTTGTGCAATCATTTTAATTTTTTACCCCCCGTTTAATCTTTAATCCTTGAGTTTGAGAATATGAATTATATTGTTTGTTTTTTGGAATACCCCCCAGATAGATCGGCCTATCTCACTTTCTTAGATCTGACTTTGAGGTTTTGTAACTTCCTGCATGTCTCTACACTACAGTATGAATCTCTCAGTATGAGCACAGATGCGCACAGACGCAGTGGACAGTGAAGAGTGACAACAGCATCAGTACGTACTGCATATGAGACTTTGTGTGCAATTACTGACACAATCTTTTAAAAATATTACATTATTTTATTATTATTAATATAAAAAGACATGTGACTGTTGTTATTTTTTTTAATTATTATTAATCTTGACTTTATACTGGCAGTTCAATATTCAATAAAAATACCAAGGTTATACTTTTGAATCATGCTGGAATTTATTCACCATATTTGATCTTTAGCCACTGCTAATAAACTTGAATTGTATCTTCTTCCTCCATTTGCTTACTTGTATTTCCTGTCTGTATAAATGATATTTAATGATTGAGTAGTAATACAGTAGTAATACTTCTGTGGCTTCTTTTTGTCCAGCAAACAGGTCAACAAAATGGATTCAGTCTATGAAAACTTTGATTACACGCCTTCGACAACAGCTCCAGATGTCAGATGCTCTCTGTACAAAGGTAAGATGTTATAGGTTTTATAATTTATATTTTCCTAATTTCTGTTAAGATGATACCAAGATCATGTTAGAGAGGATTTATTTACTGCAGAAAGAATCTTCATGCATTCTAAAACAAAATATCAAATGAAAAAAGTGATGTATGTAGACATCATTCCATTCTTTCTTTCTCTCAACCATTTGATTATAATTTGAACCATTATCAGATTTTTGTTTTATATATATTAGTTTAATTTCCCACAAATGCTGTGAGCTCTTTTAAAGGACTTGATCATGCTAAAAAATATTTTACCAAAATGTAAGAATAGTTATAGATACATTTTCAAAAATATGTTACAGGCCACAACGAAAATTCAGAACTTATTCGTTTGGAACAATTTGTCACTTTAACACAATTTCTGACCCCAGGTTTCTCCTTTGAAAAACAAGAACGAGAGCGAGAAGTCACTTCTCCTAAGTGGACTAAAGTTCTTCTGACTCTTCTCAGTCTCTCTCTTGTTTTTGGTCTCGGAGGTCTCTGTGCTCTAGGGATGCTTTGTGAGTATAACTGATACGAGATCTTTGCTCTGTTCAGGGTGCATTCAAGTTGCACTCTGTTCAGGGTGCACTTACAGTACTAGTGTAGAGCAGAAGCATCTTTTCAGCAGTGAGGCAATTGATTTTTTTTAAGCTACAGATTAAGCAAGCGTTGTTGAACAATACATTTTTATTGGTGATCAAACTGCACATCCGATGTGTTTCTGGACATTACAATGAATATAAAACTAAAGGCAACACTTAACAATAAAGTTTCATTTGTTAACATTAGTTAATGCATTAACTAACTTGAATAATGTACAACATTTATTAACCTCTGTTAATGTTAATTAATAAGAATGTTCTTGTTGCATTAACTAATGTTAACAGATTCACTTCTGATGTTAAAATGCATTAGTAAATGTTAAGATTACACATTAAGTAAGATTAATAAATGCTGTAGAACTGTTGTTTATTGTTAGTGTTATCTAATGTAGTTAACTAATGAAACCTTATTGTAAAGTGTTACTAAATTATATTTCTGTTCTGCTCTGATGCCTAAAATAATAAGTTCATTTTAAATAATTATAATATTTTTGTAATTGTTCTAAATGTAATTTCTAAACCCCATAAGCCTTCACAGTTTTCATATTAAACTGCAAATAATTCAGCCTGAAGCATTAATGTACAAATAATTTCAGTCTTAGGTGTTTTGTGAACATCATACTTTTAAGTATCTCTCTTTTGACTTGCATTGTGCACAATGACTTGCATGTCATTTTTAATAATTGCTGCTGTGATTGTTTTCTCTTAAATCAGATGTCAATACGCTTGCCGATTTTAAATCTGCTCAAGAGAAGAACAGCACAAGTGAGAAACCATAAAAACAGTAGAACACAGACACGTTTTATTCACATAGTTTTCTCTGAACTGACCACATCTATTGGTTTTCACATTTTCTTCAAGTTATGAGAGAACTAGAGGAACTGAAAACTAATTACACCAGAGTTAAAGAATCCCTCTCCCTTTGTGTTCGTGAGTTGGCTTTTTTAATAACCTTTTTTATTTTATTTTTTACATTAAGCATTTATTTGATCACAATTGGTCTAATATGTGTATGCAAGTATGTGACAAGTTACATGGACAATCATTCTGGCCGTAAGTACTGTACATCAAACTCTTTCTTCTAAAAAAGTAAATAGTGCATTGCAGTGCATTTGTCTGAATGGCTGCTTCTTTCTGATTTACTTTTTAAAGCTTAAGGAAAGCACAAGGAACCAAAGTTTGATTAGCTTCAAATCAATCAACATAACTGAAGTTTTAATTGCACTTTTTAATTCATTATTCACAGCTCAGACTTGTAATCTCTCTGTGGATGGCTGGATAGCTTGTCATGGAAAGCTGTATTTATTCAACTCTGATAAAATGAACTGGTCAAGCAGCCGTGCTTCCTGTGTTTCAAAAGGAGCTGATCTGGTCACCATAACCAGTCAAACAGAACAGGCAAGTCAGATCAATTATAGTCTAGAGTAATGCTATTGATCAGCATTTGTGCAAACGGTTCACACAAAATATGTACAAACGGAAATATGAAATCCTCACAAAACCTGCTGAAACAATGACGACGAATACATCATGACCAAAACCACCCACAGTTTCCTGCACTGTTATTTTGTTGTGGAAAGGATGATAATCCAGTTTGTTGATTAAGTGCTTCTAGCTTGAGTTTGGTGTATGAATTGTAATATGTAAAAAAAAAAGAGGTGTATTTCTCCTTTAGGATTTTCTGGTCTCTAAAATTAAACAGACACAGTGGATTGGTCTCAGTGATCTGGAAACTGAAGGACACTGGGTTTGGGTGAATAACCAAACTCTCAATGAAACTGGAGTACAGTAAGAACTATCTGTCATAAATCACTGTAGAATAAATACGGCTGATAATCACTGTAGTTTGAATGACAAATGATTGTGAATTTTATTACAAGTTTAAAAAAAATGTGATCATCCAAGACCTAACATGATCACCTTAAATACAGCTCTGTTATAAAATTATTTTAAGGATAATAATGTGTTATTTACCCAGACTGTTTGTGTCTTAAAGGTTCTGGTTCAGTGAGGGGCCGACAGAACCTGATAACTGGAAAAAACAGGATCCGTCTGGAGAGGACTGTGCTAGTCTGGGAGATTCAAATGGCAACTTTCAGTCTTGGTTTGATGCTTCTTGTAAAAAAAAGAAAAAGTTTATTTGTGAAAAGAAACTTTTATCTACCTCTATCTTTGGTAATAATTAATAAGGTCTACTGATTTTGCATATGCACAGAAAACTAGAGGGAGGGCTTTTTTTTTTTTTAGATTTGCTTACTCGTGTTTTTGTTGTAAAAACGCAGTTTTTTTCCTCCAGTGAAATGAACTGAAATATGTATTTGAATGTGTCCTGTTTAAAGTTTAATCTAGAATCTGTAAATCATACTATACTTGCTAATACAAAAGCTTTTTGTTTTGATAGCTCACACATCACTCATCTTAGTCAGTTTTAATTATGT